CTTCTGCGAGGATGCCTGTCCAGCAAGTGCCTGTTCAACCTTCAACAAATGTTACCCTTGTTATTGATCCTATAGGTAAGGATGATTTTTTCAAAGCAATTTCTGAGTCCTTCTTCATTTTGCCTTTAAAAACCCTTGCCTCCTGCTATGGTTTGGATAAGAGTTGTTTGGCTCCAAGTCTTATATTGAAGTCTGATCCCAAATTGTGGAGACAGGGCATGGTGGGAGGTGTTTGGATCATGTGGACAGATCCCTAATGAATGGCCTGGTGCCATTCTCATAGGAGTGACTTGACTTCTCACTCTTAGTTCCTGCCAAAACTGGTTGTCCAAAGAGGCTGATGCCTCCTGCTCTCCCTTTTACTCCCTCTCTTACCATGTGACACACCAGTTCTCCTTCACCTTCTGCCAAGTGAAAGCAGTTTGAGGCCATCATCAGAAGCAGATATGACCATCATGGTTCTTGGGCAGCCTGATGAACCGTGAGGCAAATAAACCTCTTTTCTTTATAAATTACTCAGCCTTATATATTCCTTTCTAGCAAAACAAATGCACAGAGATACCTCCCTTTGCCTCCTTGGATACATTTATGGCATCCCATGGTTTGCCATGGCACATGTATCCCCAGGTTGCAATCCCCTGTCATTCATACCTGAATGCACTCTTTTCTTTAGAGCTTCTGTCTCTGCTGTTATTTTAGAGTGACATAATCATGCTTAACTCCTTTCATTTGATATCTAGTCTGTTGGCAAATCCTGTTGGCTTGCCATTTAATACATGTTGACAAACTGACCACTCGTTACTAGTTCCACCACCACTGACATCCTAGTCCACTACCACCTCTCATTGCCCAAGGTCAGGAATACTAAACATCGAATGTAGACATATCTGGCTGCTGGGTATGAGTGATGTTGTTGACCCCATCTGTTTACTTAAAACCCCTTAGCACCCTTCTGTGGTCCACAGGTAAAAGCCCAACCTCTTGGAAAAGGATAAGCAAACCCTCTACCATCTGGTTTTTGCTTCATTCTCTAAATTTATTGTTGTCAATACCCAGCTATGCTTCAGTCTTGGGAGACAACAGAGGTCATGCTCTGCTCTTTTAAGACTCTTATCCTTGAGTGGTGCCTGTGGCTCAAAGAGTAGGGCACCGGCCCCATATACCAGAGGTGGTGGGTTCAAACCCGGCCCCAGCCAAAAAAGCTGCAAAAAAAAAAAACCCTCTTATACTTTACATGTAAAATCCAGAAAAATTTGGGGGGATCCACCATCTGACACTAGTTCCAGAAGACTTCCCTGACCACATATTTACAATGTTCCTCAGCCATGTGTACTTCCATCAACACACTTGAGTATGAATCTGCTCTGCTCTTTCTGCTGTGTAATTTCTCAAAATGCAGTGATCTCTGTCTTCTCTGCTGGATTTTTTTTTTTTTTTTTTTTT